TGGTACAGCTGCGTCTTCAACTTCAGTGCCCAGTGGCACCGGAGGGACTGCTTCTACAACTTCGACGCTGATTCCGACAACAACAACGACGCGTTCAATCGCTGCAGGCTCAAGATTCACAGTTGAATATTTAATCTCTCAAAGTGTCAATCCAGCTAAATTTAATTTCAGCAGCGAAGAAGATATTAAGCAGTTCTTTAAGCAGCTTAGCAGTAATCTTACAGATTGTTTTCGCAATATTTCATATGATCCTGTAACTTGTTGCGGCGACTTAAGTAATATAATCTATAGTGGAATACCTGCAGTGGATGGAACTCTGAGTTACGGGAGTATTGAAGGCTGTATTATAAGTGGAACAGAATCGTATGCCAATAATACCAATTTAAGGAATTCACGCAGTAATTTAACAAATCATCCATTTCAATTTATTATTCTTGTAATATCTTTCATTAACAGAAATGAACTGTACCGGTAGTGAAATTCTAACAAGTAAAGGTAAATGCCGCTATTGTGTTAATGAGCCTCGATGTGCTGACTTTCCTGAATCAACATGTGTTCGAGATTTGTCAACGTTGGAAGATCATTGTGAGTATGTAATCTTATTTATGAAGTGAAAACACAATTTTATCGGTAACTTTTATTCAAGGTGTGATCGAACTAAATATTTCTTCCGTACAAATTATGAGTATAATGAAAAATGTTATCGTTTTGCAACTGTGTGGTGGCCACAAATGCTAGCACTATGTTTACTTGTGTTTGCAATTCTTATACTTCTCTGTGCTTGTCTAATGTGCCTACGTCGACGACACATTATATGTAAAAGGTATGAGGATTCATTGTTTAAAATAATCTATCTTGAACTTTATTCGCGTGTTTAAATTTTAGATCAGTAGGGAAAACAGAAGTTATAGGAAATGCACCTAACAAAAATCGTGATTTTGAATATATCGGATTGAATAATATGGACCAATCAGCAGCGAATTATACAGCGCGACCTACAAAGTAATTTGAATAGTTAACGAAGTTTTAAATAAACATATGAAAAAACATACTAGATCTTTTTTTCTTCTAATATATCGTAATGATAATTGGAAACTGTTAATAGATAATTATTAGCACTCTATATGTGCATATATTATCATTAGAAGCGATATATTTTGTGTTCCTCTGAATGCCTCATTTATTAAACTCAACAAGTCTAATAATGTGTAACGCATTCTAGTGAATCTATTAGATTATTAGAGAGTAGACAATAAGCAAGTTTGATGACATCTTATTGATAAAATTTACTACGATATAAAAAAATGCTTCCTGTTGTTATTGAGTGACAGATTTCTTTCTCTATTATTTGATTTATATGTATTTTTTAATTTTTACAGCAATGATCTTGCCAGTTCCGTTTATCCAACGGAAATATCCAATGATTATCCTTATCAAAGACGGTTTGTATATAATTTCGAACTATATAAATTATAGATTTTTTGTTTTCTTTGATGAATTTTTTAAGTACACCACAAAGTTCTAGACATCTGCCACTAATTCAAATTGACCAAAATCCAACTGTATACAATGAAATAGATGATCGTGAAAGTGTAATACGTGATATGTATTTTTAATTTAATTTCGAGCAAGGCAGAAATCGAACGATTGATATCAATCCTAATATGAATGATGATACATTTGTTTAATACGTTGAACTTTCTTTTTTTTTCTTTTGTCTGTCTTAATCATATTTTGGTGATAACAAGAAACAGTGAACTCTTTAATTTAATCTGATTCCTTAAATTCTAGGAAAACTACTATTTAAGTGTAAACGAACAATGATTTGCTGGATAACGAATCAAACGAAATTTTCAATTTTCTCTTTTTTTTCATTTTTTTTTTCTATATAATCATATCTATTTTTTAACACAAGTAAAAATAAAAAAAATGCAACACTTAGCACCGTATTTTGTGTCCTTTCTCCTGTTTTGTTTTTTTGGATCAAATTTTCAATACTAATATTCGTTTACCATTTGTACCCGTATATAATTTAAATTGTTGATCTGGTTTCGATGGAAAATTTTCATTCATTATCAATACTTGTTCAGATTTTGTTATTAGTCGATCGGATTCTTCTTGATGATTTATTGTAGTTTGCATTGAAGTTGACTTTGATTTGTCATTTTCAAGTTTTTGATCTAACATATTATTTACAGTCTCTTGACTTAATTCATTTGTTTTTGTTTGATCAATTATCAAAGGCGTTCTTTTTGTAAAAGAATCTCTTGTTGATATACGTTGTTGTTTTTCCGTTTGATTTTTTTCTACAGATTGTAACGGTTGATTGTTCACTATTTTTGAAATTCGGGTTTGCATATTTGCTGGTTTACGTTGTTTCGGTAGCATACGTAACATGAATTCAATTAATGTTTGTCGAAATTTTTGTCCAAAAAAACAGTAAAGTAAAAAATTTGTCGATGTATTAAAAACAATAAGTAATATGCCAATTATATTTAATGATTGAAATAAAAAATTATGATACGAACCATGAGGATCAATAGCATACCAAGCATTAAGTATTAACAATGGTAATTGACAAAGAACAAAAACAATGACCACTGTAACAAGCATCAATGTTATATGATAATCGGCCTGTTTTTTTTTATTTGCCTTTCCGCATAAATGTTTTTTGCGACGTTTTTTGGCAATTAAATTTTGTATTATGGTTACATTTATACATGTTAATGTAGCAAATGGTATTAAATAAACAACAGGTATATAAATATAGATGCGAGTATATTTATGAATTCGTTGGCCAATACTTGTTAGAACACAGGTTTTTAAATCTGGTACATATCGTTGCTCTAACCAATACGGTATACAGTACACTATAGAAAAGGCGTAAATTAATATTATGGTTATTAATGTTGCGCGTTGCGTTAAGATTTGTCTAGCTTTCAATGGAAATTGCACTAATATTAAACGATCCATTGATACAGCTATAGTCAGATATATAATGGAAAGAAGAATGGTATTATATATAGGACTTGTTGGTAAACGTGTTAAAAGTATTTCGAAGGCAAACGGAGGTTGATTTGTTTTATACAATTCATAACCTATTAGATATCTCAACGAATATGATGGGATAAATATAAGAAGAAAAAGTATATTTGAACATGACAACGCTGTCAAATAGATATTTGTAGATGTAGTACGCATTGACGGAGATATAAGTACCAAGACGGTAATAATATTACCAACGATACCAAATAAACTTAAAACCATACCTATATAACCCCAAACTATCAGACGCAGGAGTAGAATATAATCAAGACTGCTGCTATGGTCAATAAGAGATGAATTATTCGACATTATTCATTAGTTGTGAGATTTTTGTTTTTAAATTTTAATCTAAAAAAGAAAATACAAATGTAAGAATGTCGATTGAGTTTTCTATTAGACTTTTCTTTCGAAAACAAAAATCTAACGAAGTTTTGTATTTCAACAAGAACTCGATTTTTCTCATGAGGCTAACGGATGTGCAATATCCGTCATTCGAAGACAACTAAACTAGATTAACATTTTTTTTTTGATCTTCAACATAAACAAAACAAAAAATAGCGAAGCTTATCTTTCGATATAATCAATGATGTGCATGAACTCTAGTTACTCGAACCAGAATCTATCGTTGAAGTTTCTATAATAAATAACTGGAAACGTGATAAATTATTCAAATTTGGTCGGAGGTCTCGGCAAGTATGTTTAATCAGTTTTAGTCAAACAACGGGCGAATAAGAAACATATATTTTTAGCTCATACACTTTTGTCATACAATAGAATTAATGGAATATTTGTTTAAAATCTGCCTTTCTAATGTTTCTACTTCTTCTTCTTTGTTTGTTTGTTCATTAAATTTATAATGAATAAAAAGAACAACTATGGTTATTTCTTTCAAAACACTATTTCTATCGTAATTAGGTTTTGTCTAAGCCTTAATGCCTAAAGAAATAGCAAGTAAAATTTCTTTTTTTCTTCTCGGCTAAGTAATGGAATGATGATGAAATACTATGTGTGTTTGTTTGATTTGATGAGTTGATGATTAGTGAGTAAGAATAGACGCTAACACTAGTAATTCGATAAACGAGGTCGACTAGCGTTGACTGCAATACAAGATAGATGGATTGATAGACAGAGGAAGTCCAAAAGAAAGAGCGTGTATATATATATGTATGAATATGCGTATGAGTCTATCGATGCTTTGGTATAATATAATGCCGAAGGCTATTTATTTTGTTAGTGAAAGTCTCTCATTTTTCTCTGATTCATTATCTTCTTCAATTTTCTATCTACCATTATTTTTTGCATTTTGACACATATGTCATTGATTAGCGAGTCGTTTTTTATCATAGTTTACTCACAACCTTTATATATAGGAAATTGATCTCACTGGTATTTCCGGTTATAGTAAGAATAAGAGCACTTATTTTCTGAATGCTTAAGCAATGAAAAGGGAAGAAAACAAAGTGAGGACTGATGGCATAATTTTGATTTGATATAAACTATAATCGATTGGTTTATCTTCCACAGCTTCAAGCTGTAATATTTTTTTTCTATAATATTATTAACTTAGCTGCAGAGAAAAAAAGCATACGTTGGCTAGCGTAACTATCAAGAAGATAAATCAACAACAGAAACCAAAGATTATATATATATATATATAGTATTCTAATATTGCTGATTTCTCTGATGTGACAGAAATGAATCTATTGAGGTTTTCAGCACACATGAACATATGCTTCAATGTTGACAGAACTAGCACGACTGTCTAATGATCATGATAATGATCATAACTGGCATAAATGATAGATACAATATAATAATGGTTGACCTACTTGATGGTATTGATTTGAGCTAATGAACTTCAATTGTCATTTACTTACTATCGACTGATTATTTCTAGAAAAAAACGTGGGCGTCAAAGAATGAGAATTGAAAAGCTTGTTCAATGTCAGTTCGTTAATGAGTAGTATATAGAAAAGCAAAAGCAAACAAAAGAACTGATCGTATTTGCAATTACTGACATGCACATTCATTCTTATATAGATAATAATCCAGATTTTTTCTTTATATTCAAGGCCCTCTATTTTCCTTTCTTGCTCTTCTGCGCTTCACTTGTACTACTCCCACATTGTGAACGAGACTATGACAGACAGAGAGAGAGAGAGAGAAAAAAGCTTCGAATAGGGTGTGAAAGAAAGAAATAACATAACAGAGTTTTCTATAACTTTTGTATATGCGTAAATTAACCATCATTTCTATCCTATGACTTGTCTGTCTCGGTTATTTAAACATCTAGCATTTCTCGTGCGTACGAACATGTCAATTAAACGACAGACGAAAAGCTAGCTAAGAACTATTAGTGTCTTTTATTTTCAGTAATTTTTTCTAGTTTTTTTTTCTTTTCTCATATACAAAATCCATTCAAAGTTATTTAAGCGGAAAGCGATTGTAGTAGAAAAGTATTGATAGAATACGTCTTCTTCTTTTTACATATCCTATTATTTAAGGATGAATTTAATTATTATTGATACAGAAATAAACATAACAAAACATCCTATGAAAAATTGATGTACTCAACATCATATGAAAAAAACAAACATAAACTAAACTAATTTATTCGTTTTACTTCCTGAATTGATGGGTCATCATTAACAATTTTATTTAAATAATTAGCTGAAAAGATGAAAAGAAATTTCATCATATTTTTTTCCTTCATGTATTAAAAAAATATTTTCGGGCGTGATTGCTTCATTGTTTAATTGCATGTTAGTGAGAATAGAAATGACAGCAGGCTATGCATGCATATTAGTACGGATGAAAATGTGAGTTTTCTAGTTTATTTTTTGACGATTTAATTACGTCATTGGGGTTGTCGGATTCAATTTATCTAGTTAGCTATTATATGGTTAAAATAAGATTACAGACTTGATGTTGTGTATTTATTTTTGCTGTCTACATTGTGTAAAGAATGTGTTCATGGTTGATCTAACAAAAAAAACAGCAGCAGTGAGCAACAGTGCCAATCGATCGGGACGCTGTTCCACTTTAAGCAGAAATCGATCACCCACAAAAAGTTACGGATAGAAAGGAGAAATGAAAAAACAGAATTCATATTTACATATCAGTTGCTCTTGTTCAACGACAGTAACGTTTGATTCAAGCAGAAAATGGTGAAAATATATACGAAAATGCTTTTCACAAGGATCAGTTCAGCCTGTTAGCATGACGTTTTAACCATAGTTCTACTCGATAGAACCCATATAATTAAATATCAACCAATGATTGTGTAAGCTGCAACTTAGAGGCAAAAATATTTTTCTTTTGTAAAAGTGAACATTTGAAATCAATCGTTTGGATATTTTGGCTAACATACTGTATTAATCCTACTATCATAAGGGAAGATCTTTTACATTTCTTTATGGGCTTATGCCGATAATGCATCCTATTTATTATGTCACTGTCGGTTTCAATTACAATATAACTGGTCAAAAGTTATTCGGTACCATAAGAATTTACAGCAATCGTTTGGATAAAAACATAAACCTGAATTTATCTTTCAGAAGAAACAAAAATATTCTTTCTCCTACAAAACTTCCCCGTAAGGCGAAAACAAAATAATCGATATCTGCTGGTATCTTACCAATTTCTCCATGGCAGGAGAGAAACGGTTCATTCATTTCTGCTGGAATAGCATCGTTTTTGGTTGAGTTTTGTCTGAGAGTCGATAAGGAGATGATCCATGTCTCTCTGTTTTTGGTGAAGTTCTACTTAGAAAGGAATTTGTTCCTGATGAAGTGTTTTTTCTTAACTTTTTGTGAGTAAACGATTTCTGCTGTAAACGGAAGAGTTTCTCGATGTTGCCTAGTCCTCGAAAAAAAGAACATATTAGACATGAGGGTTTTAATTTTTTTTTATATGTTGTAATCAATATGTTTCTATACATATGGAAAATTCTTTCATCGAATAATTACATTTTCTATAGTCAATATTATCTGAACATATTTTTCAATGCATTGGATACCTGGCTGTAAAAAATTAAGAATTCAAAGGAGCGTAATTTATTAATTAAATATAACCATTGGATGTTAACATGCAACATTCTGATCGATCAACTAAAGAAACAAACCAGTTATAAATAAAATATGCACGCTTTTGCTAGCAGACATTGATTACATGTTTGTCTGCTGATAAGAATTTCTTTATGATCATAGGAAAAAATTCCAGAGTTAGAAAACATAATGTTTGGCATGATTCGATTCTATTATGTTGTTTTCTTTCTCTTAAAGACTTATGTTCTAGAGGTTTAATCGAGTAATTCGCTTGTTAGACGTTGAACGTGATGCGAGGTTTCATTCTGTTACTTATTTTTCTAAATTGATTTTCTAGTACAAAATTTCTTCGCACATTATACATGACTAGATGTATTATTGAAAGTGTTGTGTAAGTCAAAAGAATCTCAGAAAGAAAACAATGTGTCTTATAATTAAATAACTCATAAATTTTAAATAATGATTATTATTGTCAGTGAGATATTGAACAATTGTCTAGCTTCATCGAAGGTCATCAATCTAATATAATCTGACAGAAGCCAAAGCATATTGACGCGCACTTAATAACCATTGACTTATACCAGAAGAAGAAGAAAAATACAATCGGAGCATGAACTTTTTGTCGATGTTTAAAGAATATTTCTTCTTGAGTTGATTTGGTAACAAATTGGTTTTTTTATTTTAGTGACTATCTAGAGAAAATGTTATTTACGATTTGTACACTATCATGACTACTAGATATAGTATAAATGACGTGCTCAAACTGAAACACTTCTTGACACATCGATGGAAACAGATGCATGCCTAATAAGGATTATTACCATGAGACATGCTTTTCACGAAGAATAATCATCGAAAGTTATTTTTATAATTTTCAAAAATAGACGAAATTTTTCACGCATTATTTTCTTCGTGTGGAAATGTTTTTCATTGACTAAAAAAAAAACAAATTATCCTATTGTAATAACCTTCGCTATTCTTGTCATACTCTAATTATCGATCTTTGTTCTCTTCTAAACATAACGCATTTCTAAAGGAAACAACAAAGCCTGTTGCTCTTTGATGTTTGTGAATTGCAAAATAATTGAATACTTGAAACCTGTAATCATTTTTTCTTCAAAGTCAGGAAAATAATTGCTATAAAAATCTAGATAAAACAACAATTGTGCGGCATATTGATGATACATCAAGGAGTCATCACGAACTTTAAAAAAGCATAAGAAGAATATGTATTCTTGCAAATAAAATCGACCAGGATGCCCC